GGGCTGGGGGCTTCCAGCTCCTCTTCCCAACTTTCCTCCGCCGCACAACAAGGCGGCGATTGTCTGTGGCATCTGGGTTGTTGCTTTCGGGTCGCGTTGCTTTTTCTTTCTTTGTTGTGGTTTTTGGTTTTTGTTTTTTTTTTTTCCCCCTTTTTTTTTAATAAACAACTTTCATCGCTACGTGAAAAAGCTTCAAATTGCTGCGCTGAAACGAGGCGGTTGCTTATTTTCGTGGCATGGTGGAGTGTTTGTTCCAGTCCCCCACCCCTTTTTTTTTCCCTTCTTGTAAACACAACTTGCATCATCAGTACAATAAAACCTCAATGCAAAGAGATTTAGTTGCTTGTTTGTGGTCCTTTTGTGTGCATTTGTGTTTTTTTGACACCACTTTCATCAGATTTTCAATGCAGCAAAATCTTACCCCACAGATATTCAGGAGGGTTTATTTGTGATGTTCTTTGTGTGCTTGTCTTTTAACATGGCTTTCATCTTAAATGGGAAAAGAATGCCCCACCTTACCAGGGATATTTGAGGGTTGTTTATTTTATGGTCCTCTTTAATTTTATGACTATAACAGAAAAAAAGACCAAGTCCTAATTTGCCCTTAGGCTCTCTTATACCACAGAGACAATGTCAAAATCACCTAAGCGGGGTATTTACAGGTGTAATTTATACCCGTGCAGTGTAAAGGTGGCTTAGTCTAAATGAGAAGAGGGCTAAAAATCTTTTGTCTGTGGAGATAATTTTGTATCTGATGAAAACAAGAAATATACGGACCCGAAGTGATCTGTGTGGTGTGTTTTTTTTTTTAAAAATAAACAGCACAAAACCCCAACTAAACAAACCCCCCCCCTCGGGGCTGGGTCCTTAGCTGTTTGCTGTAAGCTGGTCCAGCACCTCTGATGCTTTCAGGGGAAGCCCACGCTTCTGGGCATAAACTGGCACGTGCTGAAGGTGCACCAGTTTGTGCCAGATGAGACCATCCAGACTGTGTCGGTAGCAGCATGTACCTGTGCAGGATCTGGCCTTCTGGCAGCGGTAAGGAGAAGGTTGTCAGCGGGTTTGACTCTGAATTTACGCTGGAACTGCTCCGTGGGCATGGCTGCACCTTCTGCTGGTGTTGACGCTGCACGTGGCGCAGTGGGCACATCCCGGGCACGTCCATCCCGGGCACCGCTCCGGCCTTTTCCTGCTGCCAGGGCAGCGCGCGGGAGCCTCGGTGAGGTCCCGTGGAAGCACGTTGGGTTTACGCCGCTCCGAGCGAGAAAAGGTTGGGGATGGGTTCGTGCGAAGGCGACGGCGGTCAGAGCAGAGGCGTCCTACACCCTTGTTGCCCTTGTGAGCACTGGGGGACCAAACTCCTCGAAGTCTTCTCTGATAGTTTTGTTGGATTTGGTGACCCCCGATGCAGGGGTAAGCAGAGAGGAGAATGTGGCTGTGCATCCAAATCTCCCCCTGATTTCCCCCCCTCCACCCTCCCCAGTTTGACAGTGTCTAGACTCGATTTATTTATTTGTTTTTAGCCAGAGCTAGCTGCTCTGCGGATTAATTCCAGTTAGATAACTGGTCTGGGTGCTGGAGGCTCGACAGTCCTCGAGGGTTTGTTCCTGTATGTTAACATTTGTGGCTTACTAGGGTAATTTGCAGACACATTTACTTTGAGTCAATTGGCAATCAGTTAACTGAAGTTAAAAAGAAAAAGGGGTGGGGGGAGGAAATAATCATACAAGCTTCCTTTGCAAAATGCTTTGGGATCTGTGTTATTGGCAAAAAAACCAGCGTGATAGAAGCAAGGTAGTGGAAACCCAAGAAAGGGCTTAATTCTCTCTCTGATATAAAAATCTAACTGGCAGGAGTCTGCCAGGGATCAATTAGCTGATGTCTGCACGCTGCCTTAAAGAGTAGAACACTACAGCAAAGTTATATATTATTATAGTTTCTACAGGTCCTTTTCTCCTCTTAGTTTTACATTTTTAACACCACCTGCTACGCAGTTCTCTCCCCTTTTAATAATCCACCAAGTAAAGCGGTTTGTTGCATGTTGTTTTCAAATTTCAGTTACGCACCAAGAAACCCTTTCATTAAAAAAAAACAAAAAACAAAAAACAAAAAAAAACCCAAAACCAACAGCCAGGACAAATTTCATTTGAAAAAAGCACGTAGGACCGTGCAGTTTATCCGGCCAGGATATAAAGGGCCACATCCTGCTCTGGCTGTGCTCGGTCAGAAACGGAGCGATGGCAAAGAAGGCTCAGCCCCTGTTTAGTTGCGCGAAGCAAGGTCAGGGTTGGGGTTGAGGTGGGCTGGGAGCCTTGGCACTAAGTGGGTAAATCAGATTTAAGCCCAGCCTGATTTTAGCTGATGTAAATCAGGGTAGCTCTCTTGGAAGTTGGTGGAGTTATCTGGGTTTATACGGCTGATGGCGTGGCCTGTTGTCTGCGCCGGTTTAGAGCTGCTAGAGATCTGGGCCACTGAACCTGCTGGGCTGCTGGTCTTGATGGAGTTGGTCTAATTTCCTGTGGGGTTATTTTCTCCAGTTTTTAAGCACAGGATCCCCCATCTGTCTGTCTCCGCAAAGCTGGCTTTCCTGTCTGCAGGCCTGCACGGAGACCCTCCCTCCTCCTCCCCCTGCTTCTCACACCATCGACTGCACCATGCGTCCTTTTGTCCGTTTCTAGATCCTCCCTCCCCCTCTCGCCACGCTCTCTCCTTGCCCGTCTCCCTTTTGCCATTTTGGGGTGTCTCTCCTTTGCCTCCACACCCCTAATTCTCCTCGGAGGGATCACAGCGTGCCTCTCCCTCAATTTCCATCACCTTTCCTCCATCCCTAACTCCCTCCCTCCCTCTCCAGCTCGCGTAACTCGCTTACGTTTGCCCTCATTCATGTGTATTCCTTGCCACCGTTTCCTTCCATCTGTCCCCAGCATGGAGTCCCCGTCCTTTGTCACTGCTTTGCTTGCCTGACCCTCCGTGTCGCCTCCTTGATTGTTCCCTGTCATGCTGGGCTCAGATCCCTCTCCCTCCCGCACGCAGGCATTGTCCCGTGGCTTAGAAAAACGCCGAACCCAAGCCCAGCCCTGACGAACGCCCACCTGAGGTCCTTTCGCAAACGAGAGCGAGCCTTGCGCTCCTGGGAGGCAGGACGTGGGTCACGGAGGAATTCAGCAAACGCTACTTCTGTCTGGGGTGATGCACGGGAGTCGTTGTCAGCGCAGATGCTTGCCGCTAAACACCCCCTTTCTTTCCATGCGACGCTCCGGTGATATCCCTGGGGAAATGGTGGCATCTCGGTTAATCTTCCTAAGATGGAATCTCCATCTTTGGAGCGAGCGGCATAGGAGTGGGGCAGGGGAACGGCTGCCAGGGCTGGGGCAGGGAGAGCTGACCCTGCCCTGGGGCTGCGGGAGGGCAGAGGTGACCCCCTACAGTTTTGTCACGGCCTCCTCGGGAAGAACCTTTATGCTGTGATTTTGTCTGCGTGGTTTTATTCTTCACTTGTGTCACGCCTAGCACCGTGAAGTCCTCTTCTTTGGGTTTCCTGAGTACTGATAATGCAGCGCTGTAGGCAACCATCGGTCCACATCAACTGTTTAGAAACTTTCCTAAACAAAGCATTGCAAATATACTTCGGGGTGCGAACTCGGCGGGGAGCGGCACCTGAGCTACGTTGGGCTTGGCAGGGGGTGGATTTGGTTTGGATTTGGGGGGATTTGCCCAGCTCCTTCCCTGGGTCAGATCGAGCATTTCCATTCCCCAAGGAACGCGAAATTAGTGGCTTAGAGATGGGTTTAATGCAGCAGCATCGCAACGCTAAGTCTTGTAGGAAGTTTTGCAGTAACGCCGAGCAAGAGACGGCTGTTCTCCCCGTTCCACAAATGGGGGACTGAGGCTCAGAGAGCTGAAGTAGCTCCGAGGAGTTGAAAGTCACATTGGGAGGCGACAGCGAAGTCGGGATTTACCGGCACGTGTCCTACACCCATGCCAAGACCCTCTGACAGGCGGCGGGGTTTCGAAGCTGTGCCGGGAGGTTTCGTGTTCGCGCAGCCTCCTGCAGTTTGACGAGGCTGCGCCCCGGTGCCCATGCGATGTTGCAAGATGCGAGTGTGACCTGTCAGGCTGAGCGTGCTTTGTGCAGCTGTAACTGTTGGTGTGCGGTGCCTGCCGCCGCTGCGAGCGCGGGGAATTATTCTTGTCAGCTGTAGTGGCACGAGGCTCAGGGTTTTTATCACTAAAGGTGCGGGGTTCGATTCTTGCTAATGATAACGTGGTGGTGGGATCGTTACGTTCCTGTAAATACCCGGACGTCACAAGTCTGTCTCTCATGAGACGAGCTGCAGAGAAGTGGCAGCACTAAGTGAGCGGCAGCCCTGAACTCCCAGCTGGGAGAGATGCTGTTATTTATCAGGATGTGTATAAATAATAATATTCCAGCCCGCGAGCTGAGGAATCTGAATTTCTTTACTGCAGAAGCATCGTTTGCATCTTGTGCTAAAAAATGATGTCGGTGTAGTACGTTGAGGAAAACTTGCTGGCGTCAGATGGTCGGAGGAAAGGACAAAAGATGGGCTCCTTTTGGGGAGAGAAAATGGGGTGGGGAGGAGGTGGGGGGATCTCACAGAGATTTCAGTGCTATATCCTGATGCTCTTGATCCATGAGCCCTGGGTCAGACACCTGAATCCTTGGGAAACCGTGGCAAAATGCTCGCCTTACTCCATCTGCACTAGTAGAAATGCGGTGTCCTGGAGAATCACATTTCTTAGTTTTTCTTAGAGACCCAAGCTTGGAGCAAACCTCCCCGCAGAGGAAGCCCCGGTCAGCATGGGAGCTCGGTGCCAGGCTTTGAAAATGCCTCCAGGCACCGAGTAAGGCTTTTGGGGAGGGGGGTCAGAGGGACAGCAGCAGGGAGGGTTCCCAGAAGTAGTTTAGAAAACTGTGCCACGTCTGTAAAAATGTTTAGTTGCTTGATGGCATCCTAGTGTCATCTAGGAACCTGGAGTCACACAGCTGGCTCTAAACCCTTCTAAAAAACGATTTGGAAGCCAAAACACACTGAAAATTCTCTTGCCTTTTTTGGAAAAGCAGAAAGCTGCTTTCTGAGCTGTAAGGAGCAGGGGGAATAGGCTTGGTGGGCTCCAGGGAGGTGGTTGCTCATACACAAAAGCACTGGCACGGCAAATGACCTGAGGAGAGGGTCCGAGCGCCCGGACCGCTGTGGTGGGGAAGCCTGCAGCCATCACCGCTTTATATGTCAGACGGAGAGCCAAGGGGGACATGCAGCCCTTGGCTGGGTGGCCTCCCCTCCCCGGGCAGCCACCGCCGTGCCTTCGCTGCCGCTCCTGGTGGGCACCAGGAGCAGGGGTCTGCATGGACACGGGAAGGCAGCCCTGCCCCGTTTTTTGTTGGTTTGACCCCAAAGCAAATGCTGGCGTCCTGCTACCCCTTGGCCTTCTAGCAGTGCCGACGTTTGGGGTCCAACTGTATCTGAGGTGGGGAGCCCAAATTGCTGCATCTCTGCTACCCGCCCCCTGCCAAACTTGGTCCCCCCAAAATGACCCGGTCACATCGGCTTCATGCCGAAAGCTCCACGGTAGGACAGAAGTCGCCATGGAGGGCTCGGCTCTCTTGAGTTATGGCAGACGTCTCTCCCCCTGTGCTCCCCGTGAGCTGGCGCGGGGTGGCAAAGGGGCTCCACGTCGGCCATTCCTGGCCGTGGGCTCAGCGTCCCCCTGCTTTCTCCTGTCATCTCCGGCCTCTCTGGCGACGCCACGTGTCAGCCAAATCCCTCCGGCCCTGAGACCCACTCTGACGAGAGGGGAGCCAGGGCGGTGATCTTCTCTGAAGGTCAACATGGCGGGCCCTGGGCTTCAGCGGAGATGGGCGTCCTCACAGAGACCCGCTGGCCCATGGGGAGGGCTTGAATCCCCCCCACACCCCGTCCCCGGCTCCGTGGTGCTGGGGGGTGTGTGAAAGGGAGGTCTCTGAGGGGTGATCGCTGAGAGGAGGCGGCCGAGGGGGGTTGTGTGGTGGGGGGGCAGCACACAAAATGGCGACACCCGCCCGAGGGTGGGGGAGCAGGGAGCTCCTGAGGGAGGACTTCTCTGGGGATGGTGAGGGGAAAACCTTCTTCTGGCATTTCTCCTGTCAGGGTTAGGGGAGAAAGGGTCTTTCCCTCATTTTAGGTCCCTGGGCAGAGGGTGCTGTGTGGTGCAGGGCCTGCTGAAAACATGGCGGGCCCTTCGTCTGAGGTTTCCTGAGGAGAGAGGAGGGTGGCGGGACAGCCTCTCTAACCTCCCTGCTTTGTTTTCTCTCTCTTCCCCAAGGCTGCAAGATCAAAGCCCTGCGGGCAAAGACCAACACCTACATCAAGACTCCGGTGCGGGGCGAGGAGCCGGTCTTCATGGTGACGGGACGGCGGGAGGACGTGGCCATGGCCCGGAGGGAGATCATCTCCGCTGCCGAGCACTTCTCCATGATCAGGGCCTCCCGCAACAAGGCTGGCACCACTTTTGGCAGCGCTCCCACCTTGCCGGGGCAAGTCACCATCCGGGTCCGCGTGCCCTACCGCGTGGTGGGCTTGGTGGTGGGCCCCAAGGGAGCCACCATCAAGCGGATCCAGCAGCAGACCAACACCTACATCATCACGCCCAGCCGGGACCGGGACCCCGTCTTCGAAATCACCGGCGCGCCAGGCAACGTGGAGCGCGCCCGGGAGGAGATCGAGACCCACATCGCGGTGAGGACGGGCAAGATCCTGGAGTACAACAACGAGAACGACTTCCTCTCCAGCAGCCCCGACTCTGGCATGGAGAACCGCTACTCGGAGGCCTGGCGGGTCCATACACCGGCGCCGGGCTGCAAGCCCCTCTCCACCTTCCGGCAGAACAGCCTGGGGTGCATCGGCGACTGCTCCGTCGACCCCGTCTACGAGACCCCCCGGCTGAATGACCAAAACGACTTCAATTACGGTTACCTCTTCCCCAACTATGGTGTGAACAAGCAAGATCTGTATTACGGGGTGCCGGAGTCGGGTGCCCCGATGTGGGCCGGGCAGGAGAACACCAACCCCGTCTCGGTGCTCTTCTCGAAGCAGCAGCGGTCCAGCAGTACTGGCGCCATCCACCCAAATTCCCATCGCTCTCCGTCCTCCTCCATCCAAGAGCCCAAGCTCTCCGGTCTCCCCAGGCGGTCGCAGGGGGAACCGCTCCAAGGGTTTTCCAAGCTGGGGACGACAGCCGCTGCCCGGACGTCTGTCTCCA